CCCCAAAACCCCAAAACCCCAAAACCCCAAAACCCCTTTCATAATGTGGAACATTGAAGGTATTACAAATAGTAAAGTATTTCTGGAAAATTGCCTATCGAAACATTCGTCCAATTTCAGCTCTGACTCTTAGTTTCAACAACAAATAAGCCCATGTGCTCGTTCTCGATTTCTGTGTAATTATCACCTCCCTTTCCGCTGTAAATATAAACATAATCATTCAAGCTGTCGAAGTCTTTGGCTGTCCAGCCTGTAATTTCTATCTTCTGGCCTGCTTTGACTGGATACAATGAGTCTAAATTTAGTCTTATTTCTTACTAAGTCTGTGTCTTCAGTAGTACTTATCTTCAAAGTCTGTGGCTATTTTCTCTTCCTTTTCCACTGTGACTCCATCGATGTTGATTTGGTACCTAAAAGGATACTCTGTAGTATCTCTGGCTGCGAAAGATGTAAACCCACAGAGCTTGATATCCTGTTGAGGGATGAATATAATCACATCGTGATAGTTCAGGTTCATGTACCATTCAGAATCATAGGATCCTTCAGGAAATCTTGAAAACTTGCTTGGCTCACCAAACCCTTCAGTTGCAAAGATAGTATCTCCTTGATTGATAGTGTCTATGGTTGCAATGCTTGTACCTTTATCAATTTCTTTCCCATTGAAAAAGAATTTGTAGGTTCCAATTCTCTGTCCTAAACCTTCAAATGGCTTCTCTAATGCTACTTCAAGTTTTTCATATATCTTGGGGTTAACTTCAAGAATAGTGTTGTCTTTAAAAGCAGAGCTGATGATAACAGATATTTCTAAAAAGTTCTTGTATTGATCAAACTCTTCTTGTGTGAATAGCTCGATGATTTCTACTCCGTCTCTCTCGACCAAGCTCACCCAGGTAGGGTTCGAGTGTTCATCTGTCTTCAAGTCTAGCACTCTAAACCACTTGTCCTTTATGACATTGTAAACTAGTTTATCAACATTGAACACCGGAGAAGCTGCTGCTTTAAGAGTTCTAAAGACATCACTCTCTGATAGGGCTAATATATTATTCCTGCCACAATCCAAATAGCTGGTACTATTGTTCTTGAGTTTGTCTCCAGTTTCTTCTTTTATAGAGCAAGTTACATTAGTAAAGGGGAAGTACTGGCCTTCAGAAGTATCTCTCCACATATGGGCGTAACAACGAGTGTATTTCTCTGCTATATCAGACGATTCCATCTTAAGATTTGACAAGGATTTTTTTATTTTAGTTTTAAAATTTGCCACTTTAGTATTGGTTTTCAACCTTCATCGTTCCAATGGGGTTTTGGGGTTTTGGGGTTTTGGGGTTTTGGGG